GCCCCCCCCCCCCCCCCCAAACACGTCTGTCTCCGTTTCTTTCTGAGTCACCGTCATCGGCATCCTTGTGCAAATGATTTTATTCGTCTCTTATTTGACCCAGAGTTCACACTCACTGTTGATTTTGGGCGCAAAGGGCGTAGAAGGTTTTGGGTGAGTCGCCCTTGAGACGGAGAAAAATAAAACAGTTGTTTTTAGCTTCTTGTTCCCCGGCGACTGAAAAAAAAAATAGGTCAGAGAGACTGTAAGCTGTGGGTGATGTTTACGCATTACGTAACATGGGATATTTTATACATAGTAAGCCAGGCACAGCGAGTGCTGTCGTCAAGACTGCCGTTGAAGCTTGTGAAATCGAAGCCCTTGCTCAGTCTGTCACTTTTCTCACATGCGTCGTTGTCACTTCTCTTTTTTTTTTTTTAAATTAAATATAAATACATTCGGCGGCGCTGTTAACCAATTGCTTCCTGAAAGCTCAAACATTGTGAATAACTCCATTTTTCAACAGAGAAAACTCCCTTTTGAAAAGAAATGTATTTACTGTAAGCAGCCAGTCAATTCAAATTGTTTTGCTAATTCTGTCAGAATGCGATAGAGTTTTTCAGCGCGCTTGTACAAGTTTTGAGAAAAATTATGTTTGGCATTCTAAAAGATATGCAAATCCTCCTCTGGGTAATCATGCAGTTTCCCATGTTTCATGTCCTGTGGCAATTATGGAGAAAGCGTGTTGTTTGCGCCAAACCTACCAAGTTCAACCAAGTCAGGAAAAGCCCGCTAGAACATCTGAAGTTTAATTGGGTTTAATCAGAATCACTTGAAATGGTGGCAGGTGTGTGCTGACGCCCATTCAACATGTGATTGTTTCATTCTCCACATCGTCACTTTCCCAGTTATGAAAGGGTGTGCACACTTGTGCAACCACATTATCGGAGTTGTTTATTTTGACTTACCCTTTAATTTATTTTTTTTTTAATTTATTGAATTGTACAGGTTATGGGTCATACTAATGGTCGAAAAAGGTTTGAACCTGGCATTTGAAAAGGGTGTGTTGACTTTTTCTATGCGCTGTATGGGATCCATTGTCGTAGTAAATATACTCTGGTATCCATTTTGTCATTTCTTAGTCCATCGCCATGTCGAATTATGTGTCCTGTTTATATTTTCGTTGAACTAATGTCATTTTTTGTTTTGTCCTGTTTTGTTTTGTTGTGTGTGTGTGTGTGTATCTTTTTGGTTGCAATTGTTGGCTGCGGCTTCTCCTCCTGTCGTCGATCGCCACTCCACGCAAAATGCCGCCGCCGCCGCCACCATCGTCCGTCCGACAACGCTTTGGAGACCCCCCCCCCCCCCGGGTTTTAAAAAAAAAAAAAAAAAACGATTGTTGCCACTCACCTTGACTATGACTGATACCACCATGTGCTTTAGGTCATTACATTATAGCTCAAATGGCATCTGTAAAGCTGCCAGCTATGCTAATAACAGAACAGGCACCTTCTTGGCAGCAGCTGTGATTCTTATATGTGTAAAAATAAATCAAAAGTGTTTCCAAATAAATGTTCAAAGATCTGAATGAATGTAATGGGTTGTCACATCCACGTGCATTTCTGTCTCTGCAGCAGCAGCAGCAGCCGTAGTGTCCGGTGATGATGCCGTCTTTGTGACGCCAGGCAGGATGAGCCAGCGCCAGGTGAAGGAACGGGACAAGGACAAGGACAAGGAGAGGGAGGCAGGCCTCCAGACACCCAGCCGGGAACAAATCGCTTCTCCGTCTTCGCTCAGCCCGGGCGTCAGCTACAGCCACGGTATGTTACAAATAAGAGTCATGAGGTCATCATATCGCGTGCGTGAATCGTCACCGAGGAGCTTTTATTTCTTCCTCGCGAACAAGTCCCAATTTTGCTGAACATAAGATAAGATAAAACCTTTATTTGTCTCACAATGGAGCAATTTCCAATTTACAGCAGCAAATATTAGGAAAGGGACTTGAGTTTTGTCATTCTATTTTGTTTTTTTTTTTTTGGTTGTGTGCTTGTCTTTAAAAAAATTCTCCAGACATCAAGTGCAGAAACAAACTTATATTCATTTGTTTTGTTTATGTCACAGTATTGTTTTGGGGGTTAAAAAAAACGGAGCAGATTTTGTACATTATGCCTTATTATTGTGTTAGTACGCCCTCTTGTGGATTGCAGTTGTTGGTGGCTGTTTCATCACTGGTGCATGAGATTTATAAATTGTTTGAACAGAACTGCAAATGACCAGAAATTGAAGTTGGGGAATTTTCCATAAAGTATACTGTTAGGTCTAAAGTCTAAAAGACTCGACCGACCCGGGCAAAGAACAGGCACGCACACGGAAATAAGGTTTTGACTGCTGCAGCAGGGAAGAACAGGGAGGGCACGAGGTCACAGTGTGCTCGGCTCACAAGATCTCCTGTTCCACCTCGATCCTCCCGCCGCAGAGTGTTTTTATTAAAAAGAAATGGATCATGCGCAGTGCAAACAATGGAAAAGTACTGGTGAAATTCTGTGGGATCGTGTGAGGAATGTGGTGCGTGTGGGAGATGTTCATGTGGGAGATACTTTGTGTGAACACATAGGTACAAGATAAAATGAAACAATGGGCCATTGAGAAATACACACAAATATAAGAGCTTACTTTACATATACATAGTGCATTTATTTATTTATGTAGAATTACTTACTTCTATACATCAACCCAAACAAAACAAAAAAATATATTAAAATGAAATATTTGATAAAAACACAAAATAGTACTGTGAAAAATTACATCTTAAAAAAAAAGTGTGTGTGTGTGTGTGTGTGTGTGTGTGTGTGTGTGTATA